ATTCTCGCATTTATTTGCTCTTCCTTTTAACCCGTTGCTACATTAGCATTTACTAGCGTGCGGTTATTTTACACAGTGACTACGAAAGTCGTCATGCTTATTTGTGAGACGCTTTCTGCCACATTTTTTAAGAGTTTAAAGCTCTTTCGACGATGCTGCTGCACGTGTGCATATAACCCTGAGTACAAAGGCTTCTCCGTTTGCAATCTTGCAAATGTTGACATTCAATTTAGCAGTGGTGAAATGGTCACACAGAGAGATTATTGCATCTGGAATGCAAACTATTCAATTGTGTCAATTCTCCAATAAATGGCTTAATGTGACTTTTAATTGAATGAGTATGGCTTTACCCATGACAGTTTTGGGATGTAACTATGTTCACTGGTTCAAAAAACAAGTTAGTGTAGGAACTTCTGCAGAAATGACCCTTTGCTCGTAATCTCAAGGCGCAACATTATCAGAATTCTGGGATATAATTAACTTTGGTTTCAACGGAATGGCTTCTATGATGCCACATTTGTGCCTCCCAATATATTAGACGTTCGCTTAAGCAGAAGACACAAAATAATTATTTGCCGTGTCTAAGCCAGTTGTAAGAAACGCCAGTTTACAACTGAGGTCATTGGCTCAGTCTTCGTTTTTTTTCGATTCTCGATGCGTAGGTGCGCTGCTGTTTACAAAATGATGCAACCAATACTAGCTTTTTTACACTAGCTGGCTCCGTAACACGGCATTTAGCACAGCAACGTTATAGAACTTGGTGACGGATTTTCACTTCTGAAATTTATTCAACCGAGTATTTCTAGGGAATGCGAATCGCGGGACAGGATTCAATACAGCCTTCCCTTTCAAAATCCGCATCCTCTTAAATGTCCATATCTGTGACCTAATTCTGTTTAAAGGTGATGTCAAAATACCACTAGCTAATGGTAAATTTGGTATGAGGGTTGTTTACGCGCAGTCTAATCCAGATAAGAGGGTAACAAGCTACTCCTTCCTCAGTCTTATTTATCAGTTAGTGTTGGCCTTGTTTGTCCAGATGAAAAGCCACAAAATTAAAACAGATGAGCCTTTGATTCAGAAATCACGGTAACCTCAGAGTAGAAGTTGAGAGCTTTTAAAACTGGTTCGCTTATCTCCGCTACAATTGGCCATAGTTTGTATCAATGATATTATTATATCCGTGAATCGAGAATTGCACACTAATTACAAAGTAGCCAATTTGAAGCCTCTTTTAAGGCGTTTACGTGGCCCATGCACTTTCCAGAGGCCTTGATCGGCTAGTAATCAAAATAGCCACCGTGACTACGTGTCACGTGATTGTTCAGTGCAATGTGGCATTGAACGCTGTAACCCAAAAACGGCAAATACACCTTCGCTATTCAGTCACGTGACTGGCTCCGAAAGAAAACCACAAAATCAGTAGTCCTGCCAATCCGTTAAGCACCATACGAAAGTTGTCAGATTAAGAACGCTTCAGGGTATCCCACTGTCAGAAACCCGCTTTAGCATTTAGGGTTCTCTAGTCTAAGAGACCTCCCACAGTGGGGTTTTCCCTCCACTTTCCCTCCTAATTTCAGCATTCGATAATGGCGCTTTCTCACAGATCGAGAGCCATGAGTAAGCTGTGGTGGGAACAATCACGCTGTGGTGCATTTTGAGAATACTCATGAAAAGTGCAGTTGTGGCTGTCTAATTGTTCTGTTTTTTGTGAATTTGAAGGTCAGATTAATTATTCCCCGAAGATCTATAGCATACTTGTTTGCACTTAGAGGTTTGCACTAAGCCCCTCACGTGCATTAGCTACTTGCTCGGCTACGTACTGTGAGTTGATTCATCACTTGAACACGATGCAACGATAAATTGTCGTACGTGTCCTAATTTTGAACTGGTTTGCTGCCGAACAGACGTCTCTAAAACCACTAATTGATTCTCACATACCGCCATTGCTCACTATGATCCTCTTTTACGGTTGAGCGGCCAAAACGTGACTGACTGAAAAATCCTATGACACGTAACTCCTAAATTTTTGTCATTTAGTTAGTCGCAGTTCCAGTTCACATGGAGTCGTCATGTGTCCTTACTACGGATGTAATAGCCAAAATCGTTGGATAAATATCATTCTGCGAGTCTATTACATCGTTTCTAAAAAGAACCCCATTAGAGTTACAATGGTTTCCATTGAAAAAAACAGTCTGTTTCCAGGTACAAGAGTACAGAACACAAAACGCATTGATTTATGAGACGTTTGCAGTGTTTTCAAAGTCAACAGTGGCTTTCGTATAATTGGCCCATTGCTTATGGTCATTCCAGTTTCAGGAAATGGCACCAAGTTAGGGAAATTTGTAGGCAACTTAATAAGGGCCCGGTCGAAAGACCTGGCTCGAGAAGGGAAGACCAGTTAGCTTCTGGCTTCTTTAACGGAGCGTTGATGAGTTATAGCAGCGCAAGTAGTTAGACCGTTCCCACTGACTTTGGAGGCTTGTGACATGGGACATGGCTATACACTAAACTCGAAAGTGACGCGTACATGACTTCTGCTTGGATTTTGACTTTAATATGTTACAATAGAACAACGTACCTTTGCAAATGGCTGAGTGCTAAAGGCGACTTTTTTTCAATGAATTGGTCCTCGGTTTCTGGTGTCGTTCTATCAAAGTCAGATTCTCTGATCATGGGCTCAAATGTACAAGTCTGCTTGCCCGTCTCACCGACCGCCACACTCCCTTTTACTTGATCCACTCGTGGGACTGCCCTTTTGTCATTCCCCGTTCTTAAGGAAGATCTCAAAACTTGACTGAATAAATCCACTCGGTGTTTACTAGTTGCTGGTTTAAGCTTTTTCAGCATCCCGAAACCTAAATTCAAACTTGTTTCCGGTAACGGTAGAAGGTGGGGGGTTGCAGTTGGCGCTTGGGACGAAGCGAAGGTGTTAGATTGGCAAAAATCGCAGTCGTGAGCATTTTCATCGTGTTCTAGTAACATTTCACCTTTTCCTGATTTCCAAAAGAGGATTGATATTCGAGCTTTCTCAAGTGCAAAACTCATTGCTACCGTAAGTGGCGTGGAGCCACTGGCAAATGAAAGCACATTTACTGTAAAACGCAGGAGCCTAGTCTGTGTAAGGCTGCCATTGGTTCATGAGTACAGCAAATACCTTCGAGGCACTTGACGTCAGCATGAAATTAGCTTTTTTAACATGTGGATAGGTTTATGTATGCCTATCGTTTTGACGTCCACTTTGCTATAAGCAAGATTCCTGCAAAATATAGCCAGTATAGTTATGCCATTTTCTACTCGCCATGTATATTCTTGCCAGAAACGTAGTTTGCTCAGGTTATTTTGCTAACTTTGTTGACTCATTTAATCAGGTTTGCGAAATCAGAGGCAGCACAATCACCACCCACCACTTTTAACGCGTTATTGTTTATCCTAATCAATGGAGTCCTTGAGGTAGCCATTCAAGTGCAGGAACACACTTAGCTGAGACAGTTTCATCGTGACCATGTATTTGATAATGTGTCTTCGATGAATTTGCCACAAAAACTGGTTGATATTTTCAAAATCTCCTGAAGCGGATTCGGCGTAGACCGCCGTGTACGTTGTCATACTGATCGTGTATATTTCTAATGGATAGTTCAATAAACGAATGCTATTATAACTATTACCATACTGCTCAGTTTGGTGTAAGCTTAGGTGTGTTTGAAATGTAAACTTCCCTTAAGTACTGCTTCCCAGCTTCTCGTAAAATGCCACCAGTCAAATTCAGTCCTAATGAGACTACTGCAAATTAATTTATACAGTGTTCGATTGTATTGAAGTGGAAAACCGAGGCGATCCATTACTTGTCACGCTATCTTCTTGAGCCAAAACAAAGACAACGGCACGAAACAATTCAACTCAAAGACATTAACAACAAGTACGCCAAATTGAAGAGTTCAGCAGTAGCCATGCATGATCAGAATGCGATAAGTTAAAGAGCCATCAATTTGTTAAAAAATACAGGCAAATTATGATCAGCAAATAATCCAAGAAATCCGACACAAGGAGCTTTCATCTGTTGGCCAATATTGAAAGTAGATCAGCAGTTAATATTACACCCAATCAAGTTGCACCTTGAATCACGCGGATGAGTAAATGTAGGGTTAGGAGTCATGCTTAGAGATGCTTTCTTGGGACTTCCTCTTCATGTGTAGCCAAATTCTAAAATCGATAAGGTTGTCTCTTTTCTAATAGGCGCTAAGGCTAACATTCAAACTCACCACTACTTAAAATTTGAGGACGAACGATACACAAACCCAGTGGGTTTCACTCGATTCCGTTGCTGCCGTGCGATAACACGTTTGCGGACTTTTGTTGATAAAGAAAAAGGCAATAGTTTATATCCGGCATCTTCGAGTAGACTGGGCTCATCCGCACTCTAGTGTGTAGTTCAACAACCTAACAACTAGATTCAATGGACACTGACTTGATGAAAATTCCTGTGCTCTGCGGTGCCGGTCCGCGCCCACGAAAGCCAATCCTGCTTGACATCACTCATGCGCAGTTTTAGACCCTTGAACCCCGCCCTATCAACTAGGCGTTTAGGTAAAACGATGAATCACCAGTGGAAATTCATGGTTTTGCCAGGTGTTTGAACATATTTTTTAATGAATTTCACCAAGAACGTTTTGTTTATAGATGCATTTGCTCTCGGGGAGTGAATCATTCCCTAGCCATTGGAAAGTAGTCTTCGGGAGAAGGACTCGTAAAGCATTTCCTAGATTAGTTTTTTGATCACATGACCGAGTGGCATATTTGCAAGTTGTTGGCTTTCTTCTTTTCGTATAAACGCATCCCATGCTGTGTGCACAAGCATCATATGATCGTGCACTGATTGGCCAAAAGCGTTTTCCCTATTGGCCAGACCACCTCCAGCTGCGCACGAACTTCACATGCACGCGCATACACAGCTGATCGGGAGGTGCAGAAAGGACTGGGCTTGCAACTTATTGGAGGCAATGCATGGCTGTTTGAATCTGATCGATTACACCTGGAAGGAAAGTGATGACAGTGAGTGCACAACTCCGACACATCATCAGCACGTTTATTCAAAGCGCCGATTAGAAAGGAACACTGTCCGACCTCGACGGGCTGCTACGTTGGCGGCCTGCGAAGGTCAAAACGAGCGGCGATCGTCTTTGGGAAAATATGGTAGGAAAGCAATAAGTCCAGCTAGAAGCATAGGAGTCAGACGGACTATGACGGTGACAGACGTCTACCCGCCTAGACAGGCACCGACCTATGCTTCGTGGGTGAGAATGCATAGACCTGAGTTCGCATCCGTCTGGTACCCTCTTGTTCATTGCCGATATCGATTGCAGCGTGATCCAGACACGGGCGCCATTCTCTGGAATTCTGACTTAAACAGTTTATGTTGCACTCCTCGGTAAGCTTATCTACGATATGTCGTTCTTTTCATACTGTATTTCTCTTCTTAACGGCTCATTTTATCATCGCGCATTTGAAGGCAAACTCAAACCTATTAAGATTAAGCTTTTTCGGGCTCTGTACAAACATTTGGCCTTTCATCTACTGTGCGTGCACTGCGTGGCCGCACTGACAGCCAGTGACCGGTGTCGCATTGGTTAGTCACAAGCATAGGGAATTAATTTAGGAGGCTGGTGTTTTTGAGGTGACCCAATAAGACAGGTTCTGTCTTATAACCCTGTAGTTGTGAATTGGCTGTCCACCCGCTATTCAGAATATCGTCTCAACAATTAGTATCGTATTAAAAATGCTTGCCTTGATGTTTACGACATGATCGTATTAGACTATGAGGCCAGCACGTCTAGTCTAGATGATCGTCCACAGAACAATGCCATTGTCTTCTTAACTTCCTCATCCCATCGATGAAGTCTCCTAATTTCGGGAATTCGTGTTCAAATCCGCATCTTTGTCATTATTGATGCCATAAATATTGGGTCGAATCCATGCACTGAGTTTCGGGAGACCTTTACTAAAAACCCTTCCTTCAAATGTAATGTCTTTATACTGACTTGTTCTTCGTGATGCACGTCCACTGCACATGTGCCCTACGACAACCAGGATCCATCGGTTCGCCAAAACGTGCCACACACTACATTATTCCTGATTCTTATTTGAGCCATTTACTGACTTTACATTTCATCGTCTTCCTCTTACTAGCCAAGGTGTCACGTCAAGGTATACCTGCGTTGGGAATTTCGGTTGTTAAGATTTATCACTTGATTAATGGTGCTTGCCTCGACACGTCCTCACAGCAATGCTCATATTCGGAATCAACTTCTTCTGAGGTCTCCACTGCTTTATACGAGGCAGTTAAACTCCCGCCTCCTTTACCTAGCTTTTCCCTCTAATGCGATTTCCATGTCAATTTTGCTACGCTATATTATTACTTGAAAAAAAGTGAAACCAAAGTTGACTTGAAAAGTACTATGGAAATGTTCAAAGGGCCATTTATGCGGTCACCCATCAGTAACCCTATTTGTCTGTTTCCGCTCAAACATTCAGAGCTTAGTAAGTTTGATTTTAATAGATGTAGTGGAGGTTCTCTCTCTCTTTCCTTAGTACTTTACGTGTAGTAATGCCCAGATGGTCCTATTTCCACAAATAATAGAAGTTGTCTTTGATCTAACCGACGATAAAAATGGTGTCCATGTTGGTGGTAAGGTATTAATATGAAAAATGTGAAAAATTAAGGTACCCACTTGTGACATCGGGGGCACCTCAAAATTCAATTAATTGCGCAATTGAAAAACCCTCCAAGTTAAACAAGGAAGGTTGCAGAATGGTAAGACTAAACAGGTTCAGGAACTTAGAGACTCACCGTAGATGCCTAAGAAGGGCTGGAACGGGCGGTCATGACGGTGTGATTTAATCTGGCTTGCTTGCTTAGCCTACAGGCCCTGGTTGTATTGCTTGGTATTTTACCGCATGAGCAGACACCATGTTGGCACTTGATTTAAACGAACCTCACAAGGCACTTTCCGAGTAACGAGGCAATGCAAATCTGCATCAGCACATTGGGATTCTCAGTTAAAATCGCCATTAATATTTGGCGCCACACTGGACATCAAATTTCAATGATACTGAACGCTGTTAGTTTGAAGATACCTTTTGCCCTCCTTCGCACTTTAAAGAACATTTGATTTCGTATGTGTATGACACACAGACTCACTTCAATGAAAGTTGTCAGTGCACACCTTGGTCAGGACCGACAGGAGGTGGCATAAGTATATTGAACGACGACATGTTTAATACGTTATGTGGGCTTCAGGTAGCAACATGGTCACCATGTTGTTGCGGGTCCCGGCATTCGATTCTGAACCACACCGGGGCCATTGAATGTGACTCAATTACGCTATCCTGATACCCGAGAAGATGAAGATTGGAGAGGGCCAGGAACAACTGCTTGCTGGATTGCTTAGCTAAGCCGTGTTGTGTGACGTCGTGTGCGCGTAGTAAAGAGAGTGCATGACTGTGCGGTCAGGGTGAATTAGGAGAAGTACAAACGTCTGGGTGGCCAAATGGATGAAAACGGGTATGGCTGGTTCATGCATGGGAGTGATGGTTCCACGCCGTGAAAAAGGGGACGTGTGTGTGAGGCTGCGAAGGTCGGGTCATTGGACGTGAGTCAACGCGATTCAATACAATGTAAACCAAGACACCATGTTTGGCGCACTCGTCCAAAACATCCGTGACCAGTTAATGGTGCCGCAATCTTTATCTTGAGTGGCAAAAATGGGAATCCCCGAGTACATCGACTTTATTGAATTACCTTTCCACAACCTCCAGGACATTGACGGAAATTTGTA